GAGGCTAGTACCTTTCAGCTGTCTATCTGTGAAATTTGGCGAACCTACACACAGAGAAATTGAAAAGAAGCTCGAGGTGTGAAAAACAGCGCCCGATTTTCAAATCAGACGTCATAAGAGGGAAGTGCGCTGCTCAAATTCGACCGGCGCCGGACCAGCTTAATTGGGTATGTGACAAGAGGATCGTATATTCTGTCCGCGCTGGCTGGGCTGTCCGCGTGCGGACGTCCCCGGCCTCTACAAAGGAACGAGGTTTCAGGCAGTAGTATGGCGCTACATGCAGACTCAACGGACCGAAAACACATAATGAGTGTCTACGATGACGGGGTCTACATGAAGTCCGGTGCTTCATTCGACAGGTTAAAACGAGTTATGAAAACGCCGCGCCATCGCCGCGCGTGGCGGTGCGGCGAATTACGATCCTCTTTACCGTCTCCCCAGTAACTGTGTGTAAGGTTCCCAAAATAAAAGGTGTCGCAAGGTTTCGGTCAGGAAGCCCGAAAGACAGGAACAAAAGAAAAAAAAAATTGTTTCGTGGATGGTCCCATACATGTTACAAGAAAAACGCGTGGATAAAGTCAAGCGCTGAATGCCTGATAAACAGCAGCCTAGCGACCCTTTGTCGAGCCTTTCCCGTCCAGGTCCGACACTCCTAGCTGCAACGGGCCGCTGCTCGAGTCTATTTATAAACTGAGGCTCTCTTACTCGGTCCAAGAGGGTGTGCGCACCCCACGCATCATTCTGCATAACGGGTACCTACATTTTCCTGTGAAAGCACGACCGCCAAGTAACGCCCTATACTCGTGTACCCCAAGCAGTTCAAAAGTCCTGCAGCATAGACGTCCATGTTCATTACCTACCGACTGCCGCCAAACGCCCACCCCGGCCCCTAGATGATAATATGGGTCATCGTGGGTCTTGTGCACTCGACGCCCAACCACTACGCAATCGTCCAATTTTTGTAAGCACATGAGATGAGAAGCCGCCCGAGTTCTACCACGGCACCCCCCCGGGGTTACGCTGGCGCGCAACCTCGTGGCCAGATCATCACTAGCCGCAAAGTCGATTCCATACACTCTTGAGCGTTTTAGGCGGCTCTATGTAGAGAAAATAAATATCGTAGATGTCGTGTATTATAGCCTTTCCCGCGCAAATCAGATTCGACAACGCATGGATGATACCAACACAAGCTACAAAGAAAAAGCTATTGTTGCTCGCCATAGTCCCAAGACCCGCTAATAACTGTATTGTGATATGAGCAGTGCTGGGACACAAGCACAAACTTGAAGACCTGGTTCACATCACCCCCTTCGACCCATTATAAAGCCGAGTGATCTCAATTTAGTTCTTCCATCAGTCAGAGCAGTACTATTTCCGACTGGCGAACGCTTACAATGTTTGTCATTCGCCGAAATTGGCATCAACAGCAATTTACTCGCACTTGTTGAAAATCGAAGGTACCAGAGGTCCAAAGGCTTTCGGGGCACTGGGAGCGGGTCATTGGTGAAGGAGGGATTTACCTAACTTGGAGCTAAAATATTACTTTTATCTATTCTCCTCTGTTTGTTTTATATAGCCGAAAAAACAAACCGACGGCACTTTTGAATGGGATGACCTAATAAATATAACCTTTTCAAACCGACCTCGACGCTTTCCAAGTGAAGCGGTAGTCCGCTAAGGAGGTGGCGGCAGCGGGAGGGCGGCTTTAGTGAAGTCTCTTGTACACTGTAAAAGCGCTAGTTAATGATAATTCACTTCGGGCTTTAAACGGTCATGGCTTGCTTATTTAAAGCAGCGAGACATTTCGTCCATTGCTGACGTTTTGCTTTGAACAGTCGTCTTCAATTTGATTTGGGAAAATGTTCGATTTAGAGGGCACAGCTTCAGTTTGTTTCTGGGAATGATTCGGTGAAATTGGTATTATATGCGTGTGGTCTTAGCTCCGGATTACTCCTTGTCGCGTTGTGGTTTTGGTTTTTGGGGTTGTTTACAGGACAGCCATCACGGCACGTCCTGGCGTTGAAGAAAGTTCTTTCTAAATAGGACCCCTAATTTTTTCCTCCGACACAGACCACTTCACCCGACTACAGCGCGCACTAATGGGAATAGATACAGCGAGAGAGAGACGAGAGTGTAGGCGAGAGAGAGAGAGAGGGGGCGGAGAGAGAGTAGTAGAGAGAGAGCGAGAGAGAGAGAGAGAGACGGAGGAGACTTATGCCTCTTCAGACCGAGCAGAGAGAGAGGTTGGCCCAGAACGAGATTTTTCGGCTATGGTTAGCGCGCTTCTGTGCGCCTGGCACCGCTGATTCGGACCTAGTGGCCTTCACTATGCCTCCATCCCCCATCTCTGGGCCGACTTTTCGAAAAGGAGTCTGAATTGTGAAGTGCTGCCCAGGTGCGTCACCCATTTAGGCGTGCATGGCGGGTCACACCATAAAATAACGCTGGCGTGCTTTTACCTTCAGAACCTGGTCCGAAAAAGACGTACAAGTGACGGAATGCCTACATGCTGCGAACACTTAGCTCTCCCTTCCTCTACTCAATAGATTCTAACAGTTTTGGCTGTAGCCACGTTCTCTATCGAGCATTCTCGATTTTAGCCATCCGAAAGTTTGCTTTATAGCCTTCTGTTAGGGACGCGGGATGGCGGTCATTAACTATGCAAGCTCCATTACTTCCATTCCAGAAATCTCCGGAAGACTTTTCAGTCCACCTCACTGTCGTTCCGTAATAAGTATGGAATTGGGAAGCACAGGCCGGCGTTTTGAGCCTCCACCTCCCCCGCCACGCCCTTCCCCTCCCCCCTCTTTCCCCAGGGAATGCGTCCTCCTTACGTCTTGCACACAATCTCTGGTGGATCGAATAACTGTGAGTCTGCCGATGGATTATCTGCTGTATTGAAACAATCGTAGCTTATAGCTGTTGGTAGATTTGCATTCTACGTGAATTATTATATAGTGATCCATGAATTTACAGCCTCATCTTAGACATTCACGCGTCTTATGGCAGAGGCCTGAAAGCAAGGGCAGTGTTTGATTAATGTTGCCGTTCCTCTGTTCACTAATGCCACCTGCACGTACGACCCCTTCTCGCTGGCAGGCTAAATACGATCACACACGTTGCGGATTCTGCAGTATATATGTACTTGGTCCTATCAGCATACCTGCGAAAGATTTGCGAAGAAGTTCGGCATTCGATACTTCATGACGCGCTTTTAAATCCGCGCCTAAGAAAGTCACATGAATAAGGTCTCGCCAGTACTTTGGTTATACTGCTGTCAATCTAATTAACCATGTACATGGATCTTCCATGTGTTTTTTGTTCGGATTGTTTCCATGAAATACAGACACTTGCAACGCTATGCTCTTCTGATGAATCACCGCAACGTGGATCTCCCAACCGTTTCCAGACGAAGACCTCGCTTCCACCTGACCTGAAGCTCCGTTCGAGGTTATGTTCGAGTGCAGATGTAGCTATTGAAAGCACTTTCGTCTCAGTCAGACAGAAGTCTTCGTAGAAACACGATAATTTTTGGGAAAAAATTGGGTGACTACCCGTGCACACATGTTTCGCGTCACATCCCTGTTGTTCTCTCAATCAGCCCCATTTTTCTATGAACGCAGTCCTGGTTGGTCGTCTGTTGGGTCTACTGTATGGCCTCAACGTTGTCTGCGAAGGATTTCAGTGCAATTACGTATGCTTTACTTACTAAATATGAATTTCGGCACTGCAAACCATTCACTGCCCCACGCTTCGTAATAGATTTCACTGCATAGGTGCCTCTTAGAGAAATTGGCTGGGAGATTGTTCGCTATGGTAGATCGATTGTTTAGCACCAATACTGTACAACATTCCTTCTTTAAAGGCAGTTGGCACGATAATGTGGCACTATTCTTAAATGCTAGCAGGGCCATATAGTGGGGAAAATGGCGAAAAAACGAAGTGAAACGGTCAAAAACCTGCGAAGAAAAGCCTTCGTTCTCAATGACTCAAAAGCAATTTCGGACGAGTTTCCCGTAGGCATCTTGCCAATAACCGCTACGGTAGGTACGGCTGCACGTATGTACTCATATATCCATGCAGCACCGCAGCCGCTTCATACCAATCCCTTCGCTTCATATTTTACTTCACAAATGAAGCAGTACGAGCGTCAGGAACGGTCGTCCATTTGTGGGCGGGCGGGCGCGGTGGGCGTTCGGGTCGGTATGTTGTAGCTTGATAGGGCCTTATAAGGGCACCTTCCCTGGAAAAGGCGCTACGCAGCGCCTGCTCAGGGTCGCGGAATTCCGTCCTGCCAGGCGTATTAATCCTACTCGTCTTAGGGATTTATCGTGCCAACTGCCTTTAACGCTGTAGGCGTTGCGGTGCGCGCTATGGGACTATCGTCAAAACAGGCCTGTGGCACAGATGTCTGTAGCGCGTCAGCACGTCTGATTGAACCAGCCCTGAACCAACCCTTTGAATTCCTTCAGAACTTCTAGTTTTTCAGAGCCTTCTGAATTCTTGATGGATTCCGAAATAAAAATTCAAAAGAAGAGGAAATCCCTATTTGCCCAAGTTTGGAGGCAAATCGCGGTCATAGATCTGTACCTGGTAGTTGGCTCACTGTCAAGGAAAGGAGCAATGACACCTGGAATGGGGTCCCCTTTTTGCATCCGATTTCTAGCACTGGGCGAATTTAGGAATGAGCGAAAGGAGACGGAATTCTGAGCGCGCGGGCGAGTGGCCAGAGGTCCGCGTACGGCAGCCGCATGACTGCCGCCATTGTAGTAGTCGAACTTTTGTGGGCGGAATCACGCAGTCGCACTCCCGTACGTACCCATTGCACACACCGTGAAGTGACGAAAGGGGCCCACCCTAAGCGGGAATTGGATACCTTGCAGTAGGAAAAGCTCGTGCCTCTCTTGTACTCGTGGAATGAGTCCAAACATACACGTTATGTAATTATTTCTAAACATTCTCAGATAAAAGAAACAGACGCCTACCTCGTAACCTCCGGAATGGTTGGCAAGCAAACTTGTAAGGCTGAGGTAAGCCATGAAATCCTGATCGGGTAACGTACGGGGGTACGAGAACTACAATGAAACATTTCAGAATGCTTGCGTAACGAATGTAATGGATGGTATTCTTACCATGGGATGTTTGGATTCGGTGATGCACTGGGACAATATCGGTCTATGCTTTTCAGCTCCCAGGAAAGATCTGTCAGCCTGCTCTTATGATCCTGAAGTTGGTTTACGGAATCTCTGTTTTAACGAACTTTCTGGAAAGTTCTTCCCTAGAATCGAACCGGATTCAACCGCTGGGGAGTGGGAATGTGTTGCTGTCGAAGTGATAGTTGCAACGAGTTGCCTCCTGAATGGGTATGGTCTTATATAGGCTCAGTTATTATCACCCAGTCGAAACGTTCAAATACAACTACGCACTCACCTCTGAGGGCGGTCTTTGCCATGTTCAAGTTGCATTGGTGCAGTAGCGTGCTACTTTCTTCACTCAAACGTGCGCACGAAAGGAGTTTTAGAGTGTAATGCTTTCCTCGAAGAGTAGCTTTTCGTTGATAGCGAAATTCTGTAGCAAACACGCAGCAGCGAACACGCAAATATGTAGAGAAGAAATAGAAGTGAGAGGGCGCAAAAAAACAAAAAAAAAACATAGTCGGGCGTCGTGCGGCAGTGAGTGGAGTATGAGGACGGTACCCAGGCATCACTATCCTCCATCTCCGTTTCCGTGCACTTTTGAGTGTCTGGCTCACCGTTATCATTACACCACCAAGGCTATATGCTATTTAATCCTAATCGAAATAGCTTATTTTTTATTTATTTGCAGTATTCGCTGTTGTTTGGTGATTTCCCATTTTTGTCTTGATGTTCTATTATTGGAGCAAATACAACAAAATATTGTGAATGAAAAACAAATCTGTAGTGAATTTAGCTCGCGCTCCCGAAGTGGCGATTCCGTTGGCGTGCTCTTTCCATATTTAGTATTGTCTTCAGTATATCCTCTATCGGTTTCTTCTTTTGGGGCAAAATCGAAGGACAAACAACATTGAAAAAAGAGAAAAAGGTTCAATGTAGTTTTCCAGTTTTTTTTGAAACAAGTGAACATCATTTCTCCACTTTACGGAAAGTAAAACCCATACCCTGGAGATGAGAAGGGTGCCTAGAATACGTAGTTAGGAGCTCGCCGGCGCTAAAATGCTGCTAGTTCAGTTAGGCTGCGTTTATACTTTGCTGGCGTACGCTGCCGCAAAGTATAGACGCAGCCTTGCCAAGATCTCGTGCTACTCAGATGAGAGTCGGAATAGGCATGTGATGCCGTAGCCTGCAACACGGACGTCAAGTGGTTACGTGCTAAGCGGACACGATATT